GCTGGTTACATAAATGCACGAGATATAGCACCAGCGTTTAGAAAAGTCTTTCTGAAAACCTCAAAAGATTTGTGTTTTCATTGAATATTGACCAAGTATTGTATTTCAAAACTGGAAAAGCCCTCTGAACAAGCGCAGACCTCCACCAAGCAGCTTATTTCCAACATATTGTGATTTCCAGCCAATGTTAAAGTCCTGCCTTCATTTTATCTACATTATTAGATTCATGGAGAATCAAAACATACCTTTAGCATTTGAATTAACATTGATATCATTAATAACAAGCTGACGGAGTGATGAAAACCTCCTTGGCGGAGGTAATAAATAGTGCACATATTGTGAAAAGGTTAATCAGTGTCCTTTTTCCACGTCTTTCACTGATTGGTTGTTAAACAATATATTTGCACCATGTTGTAGTCAGATGGAGTACCTACCACAACCCATTGACCTTCTTTGGTATTACTATAATCTGTAGTCTGAGTTTGGGAAGGCAGATATCTTAATATCTTACTAATTAGCGAGATTGTACCCCCACCCAAAAGCAAAAAGGTTAGGGTTATCGTTTTTAAACTAGATCCATGGATAGTGTCATATAATTTCTCTGACTGTTTTATCTCTGTTGTCTTTCTTCACCTGTCAGGTAAACTGCCACGATGATGTGATACACCTGTTGTTGGATATGGGTGCTGATATTCAATCAATCAATCAATCAAACTTTATTTATAAAGCACTTTTCATACATAAAATGCATCACAAAGTGCTGTACATTACAGAACACAATCAGGAAGGGATTAGGGAATACAAAATAAAATACAAAACCCCACCCTCCCTCCCAGCCCACATTTAACACAAAGACACATGCACACAGACACACACACACACACACACAGGGACACCAAGTCGGGTCTCTACAGGAAGCCACAGAGGAAATGCTATCTTGAATTACAATGGGGAAACACAGGAGCAAAAACTAAAATGATAAAATCATAAGACATACAAAACTAATAAAATGCTAAAAATAAAAGAATAAAAGAAAATAAATGAAAAGTATTAAAACATAAACTAGTAACTCTGACAAGTTGAACTGTGAAGGCATGTCTGCCCTGGCTGTGTGCCATGTCCTCTACTACCCTTTGAAGTCTCTGAACACCGCTTTGGTTGACCCATCTGCCAAAACTCCAGCAGGATTGTGCCTAATGTAGTTTGTAGAATTTTGTTTGATGGCAATGTCTTTCGGTTGCCCACTACTTTGATCGAGACTTAAATATATTAACTATCAGATGAATTGTAATTAAATTATGTTACAACATGCATATGTTCAACACAAGTCACAAAGACATTTTTGGTCGAACTAGAAATTAAATTTCTTACCGAACTGTACTAATATAGCCAAGGTGATACCATGGACGAGTGATCTACTGATCTTTTGTTTAGCAAATATCTCAACAACTTACATTACAACTTGTCATCAGGTTGTGGAATCTCCATCTTCATGTGCAAACAGCCTCCAGATCAGCCAAGTTAACGTCACTGTGGACACACCTACACTCAACAATAGATAATGTGTTGAAAACATTGTATTCATAGATTTATCCCTTCCTAGAACATTGTCGCCACCTTTTGGCCAGTTATGAAGTATGTCTCCAAAACAAGCCAGTTTGAGTTCTTTATGTTCTGTTTTTCTGTTTTTCAGGACATCAGAAGAACTCGCAGAACACATCTCACCTCAGAGCAGTAAAGTGTCCATTGACAGTAAATTCATCCCAGAGCGCTGGGTTGGCCGAAATGAAAAGGCTGCAAAAACTGAACATTTACAGGAGGAGAAGAGAAAAGAGAAAAACGGAGGGGTTAAAGACTGTGAGGAGACAGAAGGAGAGGGAGAAGAAAGGAGCTTTGAGGAGGATGAGGAAGACAGTGAAAGGGAGGAAAGAACTGAGAACTGTTGTGATCAAACATGGGAAAATGAACAAATGGAAGTAAAAGGTATGTTAAGAGAATTTAAAAATGGGGAAACAAAAGAGAAAGATGTTAAGCTTGTTGAGAACAGAGAAACTCAGTCAAGACAAGAAAATATGGAGGAGCAAGAGGAGGCTGAGGAAGATGTGGAGCCTTCCACTGAGGTGCTGGATTGTCACATCACACTGGGAAGTGTGAAGTGGAAAGAAACTCGAGCTACGGTAGGAGAAAGAGTTCATACTGTATATAATGCACCGAGATCCCCTCCCGTAAGTGGTTTGATAAGCTGGTACTTGTTTAAATTTGATTTTGTCTGTTTCTTTGTGTGTCTGCTGTAGAGCAAAGACAAAGATGTGACCCCAAAACAGTCCCTTGACTCTGCTTGTTCGCTCAGCAGCTATAACATGAATGATGCAGAAGCACTGAGTCGTACAGGGTTTCCTCAGTGCTCCGACACACAGGGGACTGTACACAAAATGGCTGCCATGAAAATTGAGTCAGTCCTGTTTCTCTGTTTTCTTATTTAATGTGTTCTAATGATACTGATGTTATATTTCCCTCTGTGTATATGAACATTTGAAGTGTTGCCTGTGTGATCAGGCACCGTGTTCGTTTAGACACCGTGAAGCTGTTATTGGAACGTGGAGCTGATCCCAACACAGCCAGGGTCCCCTTGCTTGTCCTCTTTTTAGCCATTATGGCTGCTGACACCGAGGCTGTGAGGAGACTGCTGCTGTGTGGAGCTCACACTGATATTCTCCTCCCACCAGAGGTAGGAATTTACATTTTGACACGTTAAATCATAGAGAAAAGTAATGACATTTATATGATATCCCTGTATAGCTCATCCTTTCTGTAGAAGAAAGGTCTTTATCCCCTACATGTAGCTGCAGCGCTGCCAGGTCCAGCAGGCCCCAGAACCACAGAGCTGCTGCTGCACACTGTCCCTGACCCAGACACACGGGCATGTGACCAGGACGAGGTCTATGAGCCAGACAGGGTGTGTGTGTGTGTTTTCATGCAGTGAATTTTTTTTAGGACCCTTAGTAATGAATGTGTTGGTGTTATTACAACTGGTATCAGAGTGTTTTGTTACAGATTTCCATGAAGACCGAGGAACCCCTGAGCTCCAGCAAGAGCCCACATCTCAAAGAAGGAGGCCGAACTGCGTTGCACGTGGCCTGCCAAAGAGACAGTGACTATGTGGTCAGTGAATACTTTGCACACAGCCACACCCACACACGTCATCACTCATATGAGACATGATTCAAAAAGACTGTGGGAATCTATAAATCCCAATGACAATAAAAACGGATTCATTTTACACAGAACATGCATTGAGTACATTTGTATGTCATTTGACTTTAAACAACATGGATTTATTTTTATCAGAAAAAAAGGAATAATTACCTTACTGCTAAATTAAATCTTTGCATGACTGTTTGCTCTTCAAGAGGAACTGCAGGAGACTTTGTGCAAGGCAAAGAAAATGTACGAGGTTTTTCTTATAATAAAATTTTGATCCATTTAAATGACTTGTGTTTTTTCCCAGAATGCCAGTAAAGTGGTAGCCCTCTTGGTCTCCCACAGCGCCTGTGGACACTCACCTCTCTCTCTGGCAATAGCAAGTGGCAATGAGCTGGTACAGCCCCTCCACACACACAGATTCACACACGCACGTGCACACCAAACCTCACTTACTCCCAGACCTGTTCCTTGTCCCTGCTCAGGTGGTGGAGGAGCTGTTGAAGGGGGGCGCAGATCCCAGCATACCCCTGGGCTGCAGGGTGGGCAGTGCTCTATGTGCCCTCACCAACATCAACTACTATTTAGGTGGCAACAAAATTCAGCTGCTACAAACAGATACACACACACTTATATGTGTAGATGAAAATGTTTCTCAGACTTAACCTCCTCAAGGCATGCTGCAGGGTAAATATCCCTCTAATCACCTGCACTAAGAGCACATACAGTCAGTTTATTTAACAAAGCTAATATTAGGTGTCTTCTAAACTTTGTATATGAAAGTTTTTTATGTACAAAACACCAAAGATAGCTGTGTTCCAGATGGCTTCAAATGAGTCAAACTGAAAGCTGGGGTGGGCAGAAATGTGAAAAAGGCAAAAGGAGCTCTTCTCTAGCTGTCCTAAGCCCCTCTCACCAGACGGACAAGGACATACAAGGTGTGTCAGAAAAGTTTCAGGACTGGTGTCACAAAAGATAATTTCAAATTCAGACTACACATTTTCCCCTTCAGATAAAGTAATCCCCCTGGAGTCTAACACACTTTCCCAGCCTTCTCTGCCACGCTGCCATGCACTCCTGGAAGGATTGTTCCGGGATCCTCCGCAGCTCCGTTGTCACAGCCATCTTGATGTCGTCCACGTCTTCAAAACGGGTCCCCTTGATGACCCCTTTGAGCTTGAGGAAGGGGATAAAATCCCATGGAGCCAGGTGGGGTGAGTAGGGAGGCTGCTCCAGCACGGCGATGTTCTTCTCAGCCAGGAACTGTGTGATGCTCAGGACATTGTGAGCAGGCGCGCTGTCACGGCAAAGCAGCCACGACTTGTCCTGCCACAACACTCGCCTCTTCTCGCGCACTGAATGAAGCAAATGCTGCAGGATCTCTTTGTAGACGTGCTGGTTGATCGTCTGAAGGGGAAAATTCGTAGTTTTTAGTTTGGGTTTGAAATATATCTTTTGTGACACCAGTGCTGAAACTTTTCTGACACACCTCGTATACACACATTTCAAACATGCACACAAACCCAAACTAACATGAACATAAAACTGAACTAGTCATAGCTGCAGGTGTTAGACTTTGGCTGTGGTTGGCTAATGACTAAACTATTAGCAATATTTTACACAGCCACTCATTGCCAGCTTACAATACATCTACTTCTCTCACCTAACCAACCACTTTGCCTACTCTGTGCACTGCAGCTTGTGCCAGTTTAAATTTAATTCAGTTCCCACTCTTTATTACTGAAATGACTGTATGCCTCAACATTCATTTTCATAGGAAGATGAACATTTTTAGGGTTTTTTATGGGTCTTCAGGGAAAAAGCAGTTGCTATGTTGATTCTTTGAGAAGAATTAGGTTGAATCATGTGTGTGTCCTTGGTGTAGTTGGAGATGTTAGCTAAGGCTGGTGCTGACATCTTAATGCCAGTCACGGTGGGCGATGTCGTTGGATCTGCAGGTGACTATGCACACTGCTCCTTCATCCAGGTAATCCACCATTTGTAAATAAACTATACATTTCATTTGAATTTAGTCAAATGCAAAAAAATAACGATAAATCATATTTTTGTAAACTTTGTTGTTTTTTTTTCTCTGTAAAAAAGTTGTTGATTTAACTTTTATGTTTTTTGGGTTTTTTTTTTAAGCCATAGTTTTTGGTATTTTAGCACTAGGCTGCATTATATTGACAGATCCATCTTGCACCCATTATGTGTACCAATGCTGGAGGACAGTGAGAAAGCACGAGAAGTTTTTTTGTGGTTTAGTTGATTTGTAGTTCCACCTGAATAGCTGTCTACCTGTTCTATGTTACTCTGTAGGACTTGCGTATTGCCAAAACTCCTTTCCACGTTCTGAGCAAGCGGGAGAGGGAAATATTCAAAGCACTGCTCAGCAAGATGGGAGATTTGCTGAGACAGACTGCTGGCCAGAGGGAGAGACAGAATCTAGAGAGAGAACAACACCGTACATTAAATAGTCAGTGCAGTGCATTTATGTCGTTTTGAAGGCAAAACAAATGATATTTAGTTTATTATTGTCTTTGCGTATTGCTGTCAATTATATTGTGTGTGTTTTGTTGTGTGTGTGTGTGTGTGTGTGTGTGTGTGTGTGCACTGTATGAATGTAGCAGGTACCAGGAGCTCAGAGAGGTTTGCACACACAGGAGGAGAGGCCAAGTCTTCTAACAGGCCCCTCCTCAGCCATGGAGGCTTACAGGAAAAAGTAGAAAACCGCAGGTATACATACTCACACATTCATGTAAAGTGCCTACGTATTTTCTTTTTTCTACTTTCTGTCATTTAAACTTGTACTTTGTCTAAACCTATTTCCAACTCTGTGTGTAAATCTTTTCTTAGGAAACCAGATGAAGGACACAAGGAAGAGTGTATCCGGGTGTCAGGTGGGAATCAGGCTGTCTCCTTCCAACAGTTACAACCCAGCAAACCAAATCAACACCAGCCCTGATATATTTCCCCACAAGCACCAAAGCTTCAACCAAAAGTACCACAAAACAAGCTTTTAATAAAATGAAAATATGTGACTTTGTCAGAGTGTTTTGAATCTGTGATTCAGCTTTGATAGGTAAATTATGCATTAGATACCAATAGATAATGTACAATATCTGGGAAATGCTAACATGGTTTTATCTCCTGGATGAACAGAGCATATAAATACTTTGTCTATCTGTCTCCCTCAAACCAGCCTCTGCTGATGGCATCCAGAAACGCTTTGATTGGCTGGACTGAGTGGCGCTATTGCCGTATTAACTGGAGTAGCAGCGCCCTCTGTCTACAGCTGCGACCGTCGGAAAAAATATTCCATGAAAATCTATTCTCGTGAATTTATCAGAGATTGTAAATAAACATCCCCTGGAATAACTAAAAGTTATAATAAATAAATAAATGCCCATTTATTTAAAAATATAAATATATTCACCATATTATTATATGTATTAGATATTTAAATACAGATATAGATATTTGTGCTTTATCCAATTTTATTTTTTAAATTTTTTATTGGCCTATGTTGCACTAAATATCTCAAAAACAGACTCAGCACACGGAATGACGTTTTATTTAATTTTAAATAAACAAACAAACACACCTATAAATACACATTCCTATTTAATAAAGAAATATGGCTTTTTAAAAAAACTCAAACAAATAAACGTGGTACTAGGTAACTACGAAACGGCATTTTTTCTCTGCTCAGCTGCGTCACATATTTATGAATGTTGTCATGGTGATTTATCCATTTGAACCTAAACTTAAGAACATGTATCCGTTTGAAACAAACTGCCACTGTTAGTTCACCTGGACGTTTTCTAGAGGAACGCTGCAGCACGTATTTTCACAGCTAGCAAAGTTTTCTGTAGTTGATTTGTTCTTTTTAACTGCACAAAAATGGAAGAACCACAGGGGAAACGTTTCACAATCTCGTCTTGGTTCAGGAAAGTCCGGACGTTCGTTTGGGATAACCTTTTCATAGCCTCCATCACGCCTAAGTTATGACAAGCTAATGAAAGCTAATCTGCTCTGGCTGTAAAAGAAATGTGACTTTTGTTAGAACAACGTGGTAGAGATTTACTGGCTACTAGCTAGCTCTTACTGTGGCTAAGCCTTGTTTAACAAATTTATTAACTTTAATTTATGAATTAAATTAAGTGTTATTTTCAGTTATTTTCAACTGCTAAGATTTCTAAGTATTTAAGAGATGCCAAATATTCAGTGAGTTTACAGTGTTTTGTTGTTTTTGTCTGAATTAACGTATTTTTAAGCCGTTACCTGAATGCCATTACTTTTGTTTTAAAAAAACAAACAAAAAACGGAATTTAAATTAAACTCGGCACACTGTTGCCATGACAACGCCTACGTCTTTACGTCATTGGGTGATTAAACATGGCGGCTCCGGTAGGTCTTCTCCGTGTGGATGTAGCTCCCTCTGTCGTCGAATTTAGCGTGTTTCTTCGCGGTGAAGCCTCGTGAAAGTCACAGTTTTGGTGAGGAGAAGAGTTGTGATTTCTTGAACTACAAACAGACGCACAACACCAGTACCTGTAGCAAGTTAACAGCTAGTTAGCCGCAGAAGTCTTTTGTTAGCTTAGCCCAGTGCAGCAGTTTAGACTTCAACCTGATAACTGCTTCATTTTTAATAATTCCAGAGGAAACTGAATCCAGTATGTCAGACACTGTTCGCTCAAGTAAGTTGGTCATACAGCTGTTATCATATGTAAAGATGTTACTTGCGACAGAAATGTGCAAAGTTCATTTTACGTCAAAGTAAAGAAAGTTTAAAAGAAAAAAAAAAATCACAATCCACTGAGCTGGAGCACCGTTGTCAGTTTTAGCTACACTGTAAAATAAAATACGGTAGCTATCAGAAACTGTGAAAATAGGCATATATCAGTAAAAAAAAAATTTTTTTTTTGTTTGTTTTAATTGTTTTGTTTTTTTCGGTTCAATTAAAAAGCTAAAGACAGTGTAATTGTGTGGTTACACATTATAAAAGAATACATTGCTATTTATAAAAATTCGGATTTTGGATGTGGACATTATTTACAATTTTGGCCTGTAATTCACATGTAGATTAATATCCCTTTTCTCTAATTTTACTGGTTATCATGTGTTAATGAACAAAACTAAAACACTTGACAACATTTTGACTTCTGCCAACAGATCAGACTTTTACCAACAGTAAAAATGACATCTAAACATTTCTGATCAACTTTATCGTATTTTTGAGGGATTTAACGCATGAACTACAGATTCACTAATCCAGAGTTACTTTTTATTATTCTAAATTTTGAAAAAAAAAACTCCAACAACTTACAATTTACATCGATGGCTCTTCGTAAAACATTTGAGGCCACCATCCTAACATTTTTTCATGGGGCGTATTTCCTATATTTCCTAATAAAAATTCAACATTCTTTGAAGGCTCAACATGTGAGTTTCTGTGGAGTTTATCTTTTGTCTTGTCTTTGTTAGTTGAATTTCTGCTATTTCTGTTCTTTTTCTTCCACACAGGGATCACTTTAGGCTCGCTTTTGAATCGGCACGCCACGGTTACAAGATTGGCGAAAGACCTCATTGCCATTCCAGCACAACTTCTGATGCAAATGCTGCAGGTCGTCTCCATTCCCATCACTGTGACAAGCATGATAATCGGTAAGCTGAAGGAGCGTTTCTCACTCTGATGACAGATTGTGCTTTATTTCAGGTATATTTGTATTCATGTTCACTTAAGTCATGTGAATGCCTTCATAGCAAATTGAAAACTATACGGGAAATAATCTCTTAGTCTCAACCATCATGGATAGGTCTAATTATATGTATATGTGACACAACATAAAAATGTTTCTTAGCCGTTCACAGTTTAATTATTTATATTTTTTCATAGGTTTCAACCAGGTAAAGAGTATCTGCACAAATATTTAAACATCTGCCACCAATGTGCACTAGTTGATGTTTGATCTGCTGTACACTGACTATACTCATATATGGTTCTACGAATGTGCTAATCTTCACACCACATTATCTCATGTTTTATATCCGTTATAGGTGTTAATGGTTTTCGGTTGAACTCCATTCCAAAAATAGCTGCACGTGGAGTCGTCTACTTTGCCGTGACAACCCTTCTGGCTGTGGCTACAGGTAAGAGAAATACAACAGTACATTGAAATACGATTCAGCTTCTGTCACTTGTTTTGTGCACAATACTGTCAATGAGTTCCATGTTGCTTGTCTCAAAATTATCGTAAAAGTTGATGCTGAGGATTTTTTTGGCCACAGTTGTACAAACGAATGACAAGAAAACTTGCTTATTAAGTCGAATACTCAGGTTCTCGTTGTTTACATCGAGGTAAGAGTGTTTCAAGTTTGCAGGTTGATCCAAATATGTTGGACTTATTGTGACAAAATTTCCATACTATTTGTTGTTCTGCGTACAGCGTCTTGTCTTACCATGTCAAACTTTACCTTGGTTTAAACAGTTGGGCTAAACAGTCAGGCAACTAATACAGAGGAAGTAAGTGTTTAACCTGCTGTGTAACCTTATGTGATCTCAAAAGACAGTTTAAAGCATCTACAGTGTCTAAATTTACTGCAATTTATTCTCTGCTGTCTGCAAATATGCATTACTAAGAACATTGTAAAACTATGCGTCAATAACAACATTTGTAAAACACACTTTTCCAAGATTTTGAAAATGTGTATTAAGACCACTGTGAAATTACACATCAGTAAGAACTTGCTGAACATGTGCATCAATTGCAACATTTGGGAAGAAACTGTAGGTTGGCTGGTGTTTTTCCCCACTTAAAATAGTCCTGTGAGGTACACATATGTTCTGTCAGAAAGGTAAGTTCATGCTTGTCTTCGTCTGAGTAGGTGTGGACAGTCCTGATCAAAAGAGCAATCTTCTCAGTCAGGGAGAGATCATGGTCACCATGCTGGTCGTCGTTCCAGTGCTGCCACTCTAAAACAACAACAGAAAAATAATCCAAAATAAATCAGGGCTGTATGATAACATTACATGCATCTAAAGCTGATACTATCAAAGTATTTTATGGTTCAAAGTGTTAGTCTGTCAGAAAAACAAAATTAAGAGCAAGGGACAGGAGAGAACTCACTGACCCTGTTTGAAGTCCCATTCAAAGTCCATGAGGTTCCTCAGCAGTGTGACAGTGAGACATGTGTGTTCACTGTGGCAGACTTCTTTTGGACCATCATGCCCGTCTTCTTGGAGACACCCTTTCCTCGGATGACCTTTGATCCTCTCTCTGGATTGATACCAATGAAATCAGAATAGTCTATGATCAGTGACTGAATGAAAAGCTACATTTTGTGATCTAAAAGAGGTAGGGTTTGAGTTTTCTAACAGAAGGTGACATAACTAACTAACTGGTAAAAAAAAAAAAAAGATTATACAGTCGAGCCCCTGAACTTTGGAACAAACTTATCTGGTCAAAATCTGCACCAGCTTGTTGATCACTATTTTTTTTCTTGGTGCCTTATAGTTTTATTCCACGTTAAGACTTAGTGTTGGGATGAAATAGATGAAACATTTGCAGTACTAATCACTTTTCAGGCCACTGTGACATTTTATGCAGCAGCTGTTGAGGCAGATTGAGTTTTAGCTGCTATTTTTGCTTCCTTTTTCCAAACTTGGATGTGTTTTGTCGCAGGGATGACGCTGGTGCTGCTGATCAAGCCGGGGCTGGATGGAAACAGTGGGACAAGTGAGGACGACACTGTGTTGGCCTCCTACACCGCCCAAGCCTTGATCGATGTGATACGGTGAGAAGGCAGATTCACTTCACACACAAGTTGTTTGGACTCATCAGGTTCATGACCACAAAGTTTGACTTTATTCTTCATAGAAACATGATGCCGATGAACCTTGTCCAGGCTTGGCTCGAACAGGTAGGTTTTTCTTTCGTGTGTGCTTCATCCCCCCCCATTCACTGTGATGTACTGTAATGTAATGTATATGTAAAGGAGTTTTTTGTGTTACTAGTACAAAACAACCATGGTGGATGGAAGCCCCGTGTCCACGTTCAATGCCAGCCTGGGGATGGTAAATCTGTCTGTCCCTCATTTCCCTGAAGATCGTTTCTTTACATTTTCAGTGATAAGTGATAGCACACGAAGCTGCCGTCTTATTTATCTCCTCATCTCACTGCAGAACGCCACTGAGCCGACCATTACGGGTAGCTACGTGGCAGGACCCAACACACTCGGCCTGCTCGTCTGCTCCTTCGCAGCTGGCGTCTTCATCAAAAACTGGGGGACGGGGGGGAGGGGAAGCTCCTCCTACGTGTGGCTGTCGCCGTCAACAGCGTTATGGGGGAGGCGTTGACCTGGATCCAATGGTAAAATGGAATGCGGTAACCTGAAAATAAACATGTAGAAGTCACATTTAATGTATAGTAAATGCACAGCAGCATCTTCTTCTCTCCTATTCTAAGTTGCTTGTGTCAGGGTTTCAGATAATTATGGGTTTCAGGATGTGTTTGTTTTTCTGAGTGACACTGCTCTGTCTTTTGACTCGGTGTTTCCTTTTAGCTACTTGCCAGTGGGGATCCTGTTCATGATCACAGGAAACCTCGTGGAGGTTTACGACTGGGAGACAGTCTCCAAACTGGGAGGCTTCATAGCTGTGGTCATCACTGGGTACGACCTTTCTCACCTGTTTAGCCCACTAAAAAACAGCCACTTGACAAATCCAGCATTTCTGCACCTCATAGCAACTAGTGATATGCTATAGTTGCTATGATAAAACAATAAAACCCAATGTAGCTTATAAATGAGACTAAAAATGACCAACTGGGCCATTAAGTTTCTTTGTCCTGTCAGCAACTCTGTCATTCATCAGTATTAGCTTGCATTGATATTCAGTGTATATTATATTGTATGTTTTAGGCTCGCAATCCATGGAGGGATTGTTCTACCGGGCCTCTATTTCCTCATGACAAGACGAAGCCCCTGGCCCGTCATTAAGGGGGCTTTTCATGCGCTGCTGACTTCCCTGTGCATCTCATCAAGGTAAGATAACTTTTAAAGGCTCGGTCGTCCTTCGCCCAGTGTCAGCTCTGTGTATTTGTCACCAGGTAAAACACCGCTAAGTGTAGCTTAGCAAACCAATGCACAGCTACAGTCCTTCTGTCTCTCCAAGCGTTAGTTATGTGAGGGTTCGACAGAAGAAGCGGGAAGTGAATGCGTTCTATAAAGAACGCAAATGATTAATCAGCTGAATCTGAGGAGATCTGGAGGGAATTTTCTCAGATTTGGCTGATTTTGTGTGAAATGACAGACAAGTGACTGCACACACAGACGACACTCGATGCTCCCCAACAAGTGACAGCATGTTAAAGTCAACCTTTATCTTTTAAAGAGGATGTTACTTTTGTGGTTTCTTTTCTTTGTGCGTCTCCAAGCTCCGGCACGATGCCCATCACGATGCAATGCTGCAGAACCAGAATGAACATTGATGACAGGATCACCCGCTTCATGATGCCCATTGGCACCAGCGGCAACATGGATGGAACGGCCCTGTATGAGACTGTGGCAGCAGTGTTCATCGCCAACCTCAATGGCACCTACCTGGACTTCGCCCAGCTGTTAACCATCGTGTAATTTCATTATTTTATAACTTGTGTTGCGCCTTTTTCCCTCAGCTGTGTTCTGTCAACTGCTTTCCAGCTTGTTTCTCATTCTCATAAAAGGTGATGCACGTTTCATATCGCTGTTGTCAAATATCTGTGTCTGTGTTTGCTCTGCAGAGTGATGGCAGGAATTTGCAGCCTCACAGCAGAAGCGCTCCCAGCGACCGGAGCTGTATCGACTCTGTTCGTGCTGAATTCAGTCGGCCTGCCTGTGAAGCAAGCGTCCATCCTGCTGGCTGTTGAGTGGCTGCTGTGAGTTTAATTTCTGGTTAAAAACCCGAAAATAGACACAACAACTTATCACCAATAATGAATGAATGCTGCCGTAGTGGTGGAACATTAAACCTGTGCATTGGGGAGATTTTGCACATTTTAAAGACGTGGTATCATGTAATTTTTTTCTATGTAAACTAGTACAAGAATCTTTGCAATATCAGGACTTTTAATATGAATATTTTCTACTTGTGCCATGTTTTCTGCTTATAGAATAAGCTTGTGCAATAT